AAAAACGGTTCAGCGAAACAGTCACGATCTGGACATTTGATGGATGTATCACATTCTTTGACATGGGAAAGTTTGCGGGACACAACTAGATTGGTCAGAGATCACTGCCCTCCCAGACACTCAGGGTTTCTTACAGTACCTGTGTTGTCAGTATAACGGTTTGAGTTAATAGAAAGCCACTAGAAGTTGGTTGTTCCTGCTCGGACGCTACCTGGGAGAGAAGCTCCAAGAACCGAGTCGATTACTGATACGCAAATAAATGTTTTTTCTCAGAACCTGTATACTGGATCATAAAAGCGTATGAAGTTTTGAGATTATGTCTATGATTTTAGTTAAAATCTACACAGATTTTCACTTACACTGACATATTAAATAATAATAAGGATATATGCATTTATAAGGCGTTAAACTCCATTCACTAGGTAAATGCTCATAGCGCTAACAATCAAAGCACAGCACATTATTACCTATTATGATGCCTCTTAGGTGCCAGGAGGTTATGTCACATGACTTATCCCACTGGGTACCCATTTTCTGCTGGGTGAAGAGAGGCAATTTTGAACAAACTCACATGTGCTTCGTTGTGTGGCAGGACTCAAGTCCTAGAAACTCTCAAGAGTCAAGCTGCCAAACACGGTCACACATCCAAGGACTCTCCATGCCCATAGTTGCGTAACTTCAACTGATTTGTGACCTGAGCTCTATGCACAGGACCAAACACCACCAGTTTCCATTATAATTAATTGACAAAAGCATATGTTTACATACAATGGGTTGTATAAAAAAAGAAAATTCAATCCCTCAAAATCAAATCTAAATTCAAGATTTCTGTCATCACAACCATAGCATATATTTTTAGGGCTTTAGTATGTAGTAAATAGGCTCTGCATGTACACTCAGTGTCACTCACTGAAGTAAACAGTATATTGCAATACGTATCGGCATACGAGAACCAGAATTGCAATAACTTGCATAACAATCTATTTGCCAATATACAGCCCTACTGGTAATATGTCTCGCAATTCCTCATCGACCATGGTGACGTGTAGGAAAGGTAAAAGAGTCTGAGATGAGTGACCACCTTCCATCTGTTGCTGCTGCAGCTGCTGCAGTTTGTTACATTTGAAAAGACGTCAGAAGAAACGTCTTGTGTTTGACTAGAGGCAGTGGAATAGCCTAGTGGTTAAAGCGTTCGCTCCTCACGCCAAAGACCCCAGTTCAATTCTCCACACGGGTACAATGTATGAAGCCCATTTCTGGTGTCCCTCGCCGTGATATTGCGGGAATATTGCTAAAAGCGGCGTAAAACTAAACTCACTTATTCAGTGTGTGTGATTAATGCTACCAGTGGACTGTGATTCTGCATCAGCAAACTGCTTGTCTGGTTTAATTTTGATATGATATCTCAGAGTGGGGCCCTATAAGTTACATAAAATAAGCCCATGCATATATTCCTGAATGGGTCCCTGTCCACTGTGGATGTTACAATTCACTCTCGTATTTGGTGAATCAAACTGTATCCCTTCATGAATTTCATTCGTTATTCACGATCACAAGAATCAAATATTTATGATTTGTTTAAAAGAATTTTTACATAAATTTTTAGTTGTTATTTATCAAAATGAGATACGCTATATGTACATGCCAGTCAGGACCACAATCAACACTCTTTATTCAATTTGACAGTAATCTGCTCAGTGTGATCATCAATTAACAATGTCAACAATGTGAAAAAGATGTCAAAGAGTACCGGTAGATCTTGAAAGGCATTTAGAAGTTTGACGAACATGAATAAATGACACGTTTTTATGGATAACAACTTCTGTTCATTCTTTATACAACATTTCAGAGCTAATTCTTGCTCCTTCATCAGGTGAATGATGAAGAATAAAAAATAAACAGAAGTTGTTATCCAAAAAAAAGTGTCATTTATTCATGTTCATCAAACTTCTAAATGCCTTTCAAGAACTACCAGTACTCTAAATGTATTTTGTTCCTGTTTAACTGAACATAGTAAAAATGCTTCACTGGCCTTTTACTGTATTGCTGAGTATTCGTATTTAATAATAATAATAATAATAATAATAATGTGTCCATTTATATAGCGCCAAACTCCACACTAGGTATGCTCATAGCGCTAACAATCAAGGCACAGCACATTATTACCCCGGATAACCCAAGCTGCCTGTTAGGCTCTAGAAGGTTATAGTCATATGACTTTTTCCACCGGGTACCCATTTTCCTGCTGGGTGAACAAAGACAATTTTGATCAAACTCACTTGCCTAAGGTGAGACCACATGTGTCACACGTGCTTCGTTGTGGGGCAGGACTCAAGTCCTAGAAACTCTCAGGAGTCAAGCTGCCAAACACGGTCACCCATCCAAGGACTCTCCGAGCTCGACTCTGCTTAACTTCACCGATTTGTGACCTGAGCTTTGAGCACAGGACCACGCGCTGCCACATGGATTTGTGACAGCCCTTAGTCACTGTCAGCTTCTTGGCAGACCACCAGAAAGCACTCAATCTCGGATGGGACTCAACCCAACAAAAGTACCAGAATCTGTGGTGGTGGTGGAATTGGGTTTAACGTCGTGCTTGAGAATATTTCGCTCATATGACGATGTGCATGCGTGTGTATGTGTATGTGTGGCTGCTTGTACTAACCCAGACTGAAGCTGGTTTTATAGTGCTAGCCCACTGAGATACCATGCCGCAGTGAAGCATGAATACCCCACTCAGACACATTATACTGACTCCGAGCCGACCACTCCTTGTTGTACCCATTAATGCCGAACGCCAGGCAGGGACCAACAAGTACCATATTTTAACGTCTTTTGGTATGACGCAGTCGGGGATCGAACCCGCGACTTTCCTCACTCCGGGCGGACGCTCTAGCCACTACACCACGGAAGCGGTCAGCAGAATCTGTACTTGACTGAGAAAGTGTAATCCCAAACACAGTTTCTAAATGGCATTGTGACACGTCACAATTTCATTCTGGAAACCCAAAAGTCCAGCAAAACACATTCCATTATTTGATAAATACAACATGTTTTCATTACTATTTCAGATGTGCCTTTCAGTTAAACGTTGCCTTTACCTTTACTACTTATTGTAGTAACCCATGCTTGTCGTAAGAGGCGACTAACGGGATCGGGTGGTCAGGCTCGCTGACTTGGTTGACATATGTCATTGGTTCCCCATTGCGCAGATCGATGCTCATACTGTTGATCACTGGATTGTCTGGTCCAGACTCCATTATTTACAGACCGCCGCCATATAGCTGGAATATTGCTGAGTGCGGCATAAAACTGAACTCACTCACTCACTCACTACTTATTGTACATATTGTATACAGCACTTGCTTGATAACGGTTTTGGCAGCAACACCACTTTCATTATAATAAAGAAGCCATATTTCCATTAAACTTTCTCCGTTGTTCAAACAATCACGGCTCTCAACAGATATTTCTATGTCATACAAATTCATGTGAGAATTTTTCAAGTTCTTGGTGTTGTCATCAAGAACATGTGGATTTAGCTGGCTTCGTCCTCATTTCCAATTTGAAGATTCTGTGTTTCATCTCAAACGTGGCATCATAATAAAATAAGGAAGTTGTTATCCATACAGTATCTTATTATTCATCAACTTCTAATATGCCAATCAAACAGATCATCTCAATTTGTTGAGTATGTCAGTGCAAGCTGCAAAGATAAGGCCACGGAGCGGAATGATGATCTTTTTTTCTCTGTGTACAGTTACATAATTTCTGCAAACACCAGCGAAATTTGTGCTGATGAAGTCGATCTATCCCATCTTGAGTCTTGTGTATTTGAGTAAAACTGTTGCAGCTTTTAAGTGTATCTTGCTTTCTATGTAATTATGTATACATTCTATTGATCACACTGGGCAATTACGTGACACCAGGTGTGAGCTGTACAGGTGCACGTGAGGGTAGGCCAACACCGCATAATGTGCAGCTTAATATGTCACATTCTATGGAAATCTCAAATTGATTGTTTTATTACATGACTAATGAGCATTCTGTTTGGGTTAGACTCGTCTTATCAGGACCGAGATTATTCTGTGTATAAACTTTCCTTGTCATGTGAAATTAGAGTGTAAACATACTGTCGTTTATATAGGGGAGACATTGAAAACATTGGATACCAAGATATGTACATGAATAATCTTGAATTTCAATCTTTTGTAAGATTCTCTCATATGCATTAACGTTTTTGTCCTGTAAATGAGTGTGTAAATATATTGATATTTATATGTGTGTCAGATATTTCAATAACGCACTGAATTAGCTGAATGAAGAGAAAATGAGTTAAATTTGTGTCATGATACTTTTTCAGAACTCAGTAACAAATTGTTTCTTCTAATTTATTTTTGTTACTATGGTAACATATGGCATAGATATGTAAGATTAGTGTCAAGTTATCTTGATATGTTATATATAGTAGACATACAGTATTGGAGGATCCAGGGGTCATGTAGTGAGCATTCCTCCCCTTCAGTCTACATCCCCCCTATACCCTTCTGGGTTTATTGATATAACTCCCCCGTGAAGATCCAGATCAGAATTGATCTCCAGTAACCCATGCTTGTCATTAGAGGCGACTAACAGGATCGGGTGGTCAGGCTCGCTGACTTGGTTGACACATATCATTGGATCCCAATTGCGTAGATCGATGCTCATGATGTTGATCACTGGATTGTCTGGACAGATTGATTATTTATTTGGTAATGAAATCTGGACTTGACAAACTAGTGATAAATATCATGAGCATTAATTCATGCAATTGTGATAGAATTACTTGCGGTCAAAACAATCTTAACCACCCAAACCATTTACCTGTCTTTTCATGATCAGTGTATGTTGCCAAGAACTTATGTTCTTATCCAGCATCCTTCCAGCTTAAAATCTTTTTATTGTAATTTTTGTAGTAGTGATGCCTGGACCAGATTATATGAGTTTTATATTGTTTTCAGTTTGTGGGATAACATGCCCTTGAAGAAGATCTGTTGTATTGGTGCCGGATATGTGGGAGGTCCATCATGTGCGGTCATCGCATACAAGTGTCCGAACCTGGAAGTCGAGGTCGTTGACCTGAGCCAGGAAAGAATTGACCAGTGGAACTCTGATGACCTGCCTATTTTTGAGGTGAGTGAAAACGTTTGAGACTGTTGCAGTTCCAAAGTGTGATGTCAAATCAGGTTTTCAATCCTTATGTTTGTGGGTAATAGCAAGTAATTTTATCTGCCTACCTACCTATCTACCTACCTACCTATCTTCCTATCTACCTACCCAACCACCTACGATACGATACGATATTTATATAGCGCACCTATCCAGGCAACTAGTGCTTGCTCAAGGCGCTGGTATTGTTTCCCTTGATCATTGGATGTCAATCTCAACGGCACATCGTGTTATCAATCTCAACTCCCGAGTATGCAACCCTTGCAGCCACTAGGCGCACTGAGTTATTGTGGCTTTCTCATCCAAACGAGGTACCCATTCACAGCTGGGTGGACTGGGACACATAGTCACAGTACTTTGTCTAACTTCACTGCACGTTGCTGTATCCGCAACTAGGTGTTTGCACGTATTCATGTGGCCACCATCTGGTCATATACCAACGGATTCGTGGGTTCTTTTAAGTGCACAGGGTTGTGTACTGTACACTAGGGGTTGTGACAACACTGAAAGAGTCTGCGCACAAAGTTGACTCCAAGGTTTTTACACCCGGTTACAGGTGGGCTCGATCCCGACACCTCAGCCTCACTGGATCACTAGCCTGGCGCCTTAGCCAGCTCGCCCACCGCGCCCCTTAGCCAGCCCTCGGGCACCTACTCACTCACCCACCACAACTACATAGCTTACGGGATATTTTGAGGGTTTTAAAGAAGCATTTGTCAAGAGGGGAAACGTGTGTTATTTCTGTATTTCAGCCGAGATTGTACGAGGTTATCCAGGAATGTCGAGGCAGAAACCTCAAGTTCTCCACCAACATCGACCAAGCCATCCAGGAGGCGGAGCTCATCTTTATTTGTGTCAACACACCTACCAAGAACTATGGCATTGGCAAGGTGAGTCAGAAATCAAGGGACCAGTAATCTTTGAAATCAAATCAGTGGGACACCATTCATCAGGAAATTCCCTTAAAACCCCTGTTAATCAGGGCTGTTCAGGTGAAACTCTATTAATTAGGACAGTTCAGCTATATTACCGTATGTTTGAACTTGTTTGCTGCTGATTGCTATTTCCGGCTCAAATACACACGGTAATCTTAATCTTAATTAATTTATAGAGCAAAAACTGTAATTAAAATTACACAATGCTAGGATATATTTCTTTGGGTTAAATAATAGTATTCTGTATTATATTTTACTGATGACTGCGTCAGAATTCGTCCCATTATATTATTGTGCATGTTTGAACTTGATCGCCTGGGAAACATGTGCACAGCTGATTGCTATTTCCGACTCAGATACACACGGTAATCTTAATCCCTGCAAATAATACAATGCCCAGCAAAAACAACTTAGAACTTAAAAGGTAAATAATCTTGTCTAGTGATGTTTAATTGCAAATTTGACGTCTACTGACAAAGTCGTCTTCTGTTGTTTGTTCACGCGAAGTGATACGATGTTGTTTTCTTACCCCTGGAAAAAAGTTTGACGAAAGCGTAACCCATAGATAAGACAACCCCCTTCTACAGACTGATTTTTGGGTTCTTAAAATTCGGCTTATAGACGGTCATATACGGTAGTCAGGAAATGCTGCTTTATTTGTTTGTTGTTTTTAAAACACACACACACACACACACACACACACACACACCGCCATGCAGCAATATCTGCTGGTGGTTTGTAAATAATCGATTCTGGACCAGAGAATCCAGTGATCAACAGCATGATTATTGTTAAAACTAAACTCACTCACTCACACTCCCCATCAATGCTAGTTGCCCTGTCCACCTGACACCCACAGTGTTTTGCAGGGCCGGGCTGCTGACCTTAAGTACATAGAGTCTGCTGCCAGAAGGATAGCTGCTGTTGCCAATAGCTCCAAAATCGTGGTTGAGAAGAGCACCGTCCCGGTCAAGGCGGCAGAGAGCATCACAGATATCCTCAAGGCAAATGTGAAGAAAGGTGTTAAGTACCAGGTTAGTATTTGGATATATTACTCGCCCGTGGAAGATACTGCAGTGTAATATTTTTACGGCAATAATACACTAGTGTAATATTGCTAGACATATGACGTCATAATGGTTCACAGTTATGACGTCACAATGCTAATGCCGCTGTCGCAATGATACTAGACCTTGCTTGACTCACGGAAAGCTGAGAGTCATCACACTGTAGGCAATTTCGCCGCAGTTTCTATCAATTTATGTTGGAGAGTAATAAACCGAATACTAAACTTGCTTCTTAGAAATACCATTTTGATTAAACTCGTGAAAGATTTAGTATCAAACTCGCTTTCGCTCGTTTAATACCAAATCATTAACTCGTTTAATAAAAATGGTATTACACGGAAGGTCGTTTAGTGTCTCTATACATACAGTATCATCCTTTCATATGTATCTCACTTGGCCCATCGTCAGCAACAGTGGTGTTGGAAGGCCTAAACTGTTTGCATTTTTATCCCCCCGGGATGTAATGGGGGGGATATAGTCGATGCCTCGTCCGTCCGTCCGTCCGTCCATCCATCTGTAATCATTTTGTTTCCTGAGCATAACTCGAAAACTGTTCAATATCTTTCAACAGAACTTGGCAGATATATGAGACAGATCTTGAAGTGGTGCCTTTTGCTATTTACAGATTTTTGTCATTTTCACTATTCCTAGTTTCCATGGAAACAATTTGGACTTAGTCTAAATAGACATTAAGCTGGACTTTAAGTAACTGTCAGATGATTTCTTCCTTTCAAGTATGTGTGTGTGTGTGTGTGGGGGGGGGGGATATGTCATCTTCTGATGACTGTTGTTAACTTTGTGTAGATGGTTGGTGCTGTAAGAAGATTCACATTTTTTCCAAGGTAGTAAACCAGGAATTTCAACATGGTTGCCAGGTTGCCATCTTTGTTTAAAGTAGTCAGTTGGTCTGACAATCACCTTGTGGACTACCAAGTTTGCTCAAGACACCTTGATCAGAAATGTGATATGGTCTTTCTGTCTGTTGCAGGTATTGTCTAACCCAGAGTTCCTGGCAGAGGGTACAGCTATCAAGGATCTCCTTAATCCAGACCGTGTGCTGATTGGTGGAGAGGAGACCCCAGATGGGAGGGAGGCCATTAATGGCCTGTGCTGGATTTACGAGCACTGGGTACCTCGGGAACAGATCATCACTATGAACACCTGGTCCTCGGAGCTGTCGAAACTGGTTAGTCCGTATTTACAGTATCTTGGGTCTTTGACATTTAGAAGTGATACACATTATCGGTGAGAATTAATGGACGACAGCTTCTTTATTATGAGGAACACAACATTTTGGAGTAGATTCTTATTCCTTCAGGAATATACTGCTAAACATTGTGTTCCTCATGATAAATACGTTGACATCCATGAATTCTGACCTTTTATGTGTGTCACTATCAGTATGTTTTCTGCCATGAGAAACATTTCCATATACAGATTCAAAGTGTCATGGTTTGATTGTTGGTTGGTTTGTTGTTTAATGCAGCACTCACCCAGGTATCATTCCTGCTCAGTGGATGACATAAAGAAACCATCATACATTGGGGCTGGTGACCTTTCGTTGATGCTATAACTCACCAAAGATTACGGGTCCTCATTTCAGGAGTACAGACAGAAAACTGACATATTTTGGCCATATATAAGAGTAAAATAGATATTTCAGTGCACCCTGTTCTGAGACAAAAATCTGTAACTGTGATAACAATGCTTACAGGTTAAAACTAGTGATTAGATTGTATGTTCAAACATTTAGGTTAAAAGTTACTAAGCAGGTGGGATAGAGGGTTTGAGCTCAGTAGATAATCCTCGGACATGGGATAATGGGAAGGCAGATATATATTTAAATTCCGTTCCTGATATAAAACACACTTTATGGATAACAACTTCTTTTTATTCGTGTGTGTGACGTTTCGATACAGATTCTTGTTATCCATAAAGTTTGTTCTATATTGTACTTCCCAACTTCTAAAATGCCACTCAAAGAAGTTATCCGTTCCTGATGACTTCAAAATTGTTATTTCAAGGCAGCCAATGCATTCCTGGCACAGAGGATCTCCAGCATCAATGCCATGTCAGCTGTATGTGAAGCAACAGGGGGCAGATGTTTCTGAAGTGGCAAATGCCATTGGAACAGACAGCAGAATCGGGCCCAAGTTCCTGCAGGCTAGCATAGGTAAGTCAGTCAATAGATTCAGGCCAAAGGTCATAGAGGTTAGTAGGTTTCTGCAGGTTCTATGAAGATTTGTACTCATCCAGAGAGCACCTAGTGAAAGATATAGGACTTAATAATTTGTTTAGAGATCATGACATATGTAAGATTGAGAATCCAAACAGCATTGATGGACCTATTACTAAGGTTGAACTTATAACGGCATTAAAAAAATACAAAAATAACAAGAGAACAGGCTCAGAATTACTTATGAATTCTTTAAGTTTTTCTGGCTTGACCTTGGTGACGTTCTGTCCAGATCTTCAAGCTACAGCCTTGAAACTGGCCATCTGTCTATTACTCAGAAACAAGGCATAATAACACGCATCCCAAAAGGTGATAAACCAAAATTATTTCTTAAAAACTGGCTTCCAATTACCCTGTTGAACTCAACATACAAACTTTTATCCTCAGTCATTGCAGATAGATTAGAAAAAGTCCTCCACAATATCATTAATGAAGATCAAACAGGATTTATGTTCGATAGATATACTGGAGATAATATTCGTATGATTTACGACCTTCTTCAACATACAGAATCCAAGCCAATGCCAGGTATGCTGCGACTTGTAGATTTTGAGAAGGTTTTCAATTCAGTCGCTTGGTCTTTATTTATAAAACATTGAAATGTTTTGGCTTTGGTGATGGCATTATTGAATGGGTTTCCATACTTTATGAAGGTATTTTGTCAAGTTTGTCTATAAATAGAAAAATGCCTCCCTCGATACCCATCCTCCGTGGCTGTAGACAAGGAGACCCTTTGCAGCCATATATTTTCTTAATATGTGCAGAAATATTATCAGCTCTTATTCGAAAAATGAAAATACCATGGGTATAGTGGTGAATATTAAAGAATAACTGATTGCTCAATATGCAGATGACACTGAATTTATTCTCAATGGCTCAAAGAAATCTTTTGAAGGGGTCATTGACATGTCAGATTTCTATGCACAAATCTCAGGACTTGAGATTAACTATAATAAATCAGAAGTTGTTTGGATAGGAAGTTGTAGAAATAGTAATGTTAAATTCAGATTAGATTTAAACCAACATTGGAACCCAGAAGTTATAGGATTTTGGGTATAATCTTTTCGGTTGATATCAACAAAATGATCAAACTCAATTATGAAAGTAAGATATATGAAATTGAAGAAATAGTTAATTGATGGATGAAAAGAACTGTAAGTCCCCTATGAAAAATTGCTATAATCAAATCCTTGCTTCTCACTCTGACCAACCCACTTGGGGGTTTTCTTAAAAATTTAATATTTGGTTTTTTGGTTTTACACCTGATAAATTTAAAAGGACAATAGTTAAGTTCGTAGACCAATTCTTGAGGGTGGGCTTTAAATGATTGACATATATAGATGCTTTGAAAGTAACATGGATTAGAAAATTACTTCAAATGGATTATGAAAGAAAATGGAAACACCTGCTGAGCTTGTGAAGGTAGGTCATACAACAGCATTGGTCCAGGTTTCTGCAGACTGTTAAGGTAGGTCACACAACAGTATTGGCCCAATATCATGCAGACTGTGAAGGTAGGTCATACAACAGCATTGGTCCAGGTTTCTGCCGACTGTGAAAGTAGGTCATACAACAGCATTGGTCCAGGTTTCTGCAGACTGTGAAAGTAGGTCATACAACAGCATTGGTCCAGGTTTCTGCCGACTGTGAAAGTAGGTCATACAACAGCATTGGTCCAAGTTTCTGCAGACTGTGAAAGTAGGTCATACAACAGCATTGGTCCAGGTTTCTGCAGACTGTGAAAGTAGGTCATACAACAGCATTGGTCCAGGTTTCTGCCGACAGTACTGCATTGGTCCAGGTTTCTGCAGACTGTGAGGTCATACAACAGCATTGGTCCAGGTTTCTGCAGACTGTGAAAGTAGGTCATACAACAGCATTGGTCCAGGTTTCTGCAGACTGTGAAGGTAGGTCACACAACAGCATTGGTCCAGGTTTCTGCAGACTGTGAAAGTAGGTCATACAACAGCATTGGTCCAGGTTTCTGCAGACTGTGAAGGTAGCTCATACAGCAGCATTGGTCAGGTTTCTGCCGACAACATACAACAGCATTGGTCCAGGTTTCTGCAGACTGTGAAGGTAGGTCATACAACAGCATTGGTCCAAGTTTCTGCAGACTGTGAAGGTAGGTCACACAACAGTATTGGCCCAATATCATGCAGACTGTGAAGGTAGGTCATACAACAGCATTGGTCCAGGTTTCTGCAGGTTGTGAAGGTAGGTCACACAACAGCATTGGCCCAGGTTTCTGCAGGTTGTGAAGGTAGGTCATACAACAGCATTGGCCCAGGTGTCTGCAGGTTGTGAAGGTAGGTCATACAACAGCATTGGTCCAGGTTTCTGCAGGTTGTAAATGTAGGTTACACAGCAGCATTGGTCCAGGTTTCTGCAGGTTGTAAATGTAGGTCATAGAGCAGCATTGGCCCAAGTATGGTATGATGTATTTGTAGAGGTTGGGTGGTTGTCGATGGTAAGTGGGGGTAGTACACTGTTGGGATGTGGAACGGCATGCTAGTGGTGCTGTTTATTTGTATTGCTTTCTGGTAGATGTGTATGGATGTTTTATGCATACTACCAAGCAGTTTCCTTGCAGGGGGTATGTCAGTATCCTGTCTTTCAACATTTTCATGTAAGGTATTGTGTATACCACTGCACCAGCAGCATAGCACTACTACCACCAGCATACCAGCAAAATACAACACTACCACCAACATACCACCAGCATACCTACCACCAGCATACCACCAGCATACCACTACTACCACCAGCCACTACCACCACCAAAATACCACTACTACCACCAGCATACCACTACTACCTACCACTACTACTAGCATACCACCACTACCAGCATACCACTACCACATACCACCAGCATACCACCACCAAATACCACTACTACCACCAGCATACCACCAACATACAACTACTACCACCAGCATACCACTACTACCACCAACATACCACTACTACCACCAGCATACCACTACTACCACCAGCATACCACTACTACCACTACTACCACTACTACCACCAACATACCACTACTACCACCAGCATACCACCACTACCACCAGCATACCACCACTACTACCACCAGCATACCACTACTACCAGCATACCACTACTACCACCAGCATACCACCAGCATACCACCATACTACCACTACTACCACCAGCATACCACTACTACCACCAGCATACCACTACTACTACCACCAGCATACCATACCACCACTACCACCAGCATACCACTACTACCACCATACCACCAGCATACCACTACTACCACCAGCATACCACTACTACCACCAGCATACCACTACTACCACCAGCATACCACTACTACCACCAGCATACCACCAACATACAACTACTACCACCAGCATACCACCAGCATACCACTACTACCACCAGCATACCACTACCACCACCACCAGCAACCACCAGCATACCACTACTACCACCAGCATACCACTACTACCACCAACATACCACTACTACTACCACCAGCATACCACTACTACCACCAACATACCACTACTACCACCAACATACCACTACTACCACCAGCATACCACTACTACCACCAGCATACCACCACTACCATACCACTACTACCACCAGCATACCTACCAGCATACCACTACTACCACCAGCATACCACTACTACCACCAACATACCACTACTACCACCAACATACCACTACTACCAGCATACCACTACTACCACCAACATACCACTACTACCACCAGCATACCACTACTACCACCAGCATACCACTACTACCACCAGCATACCACTACTACCACCAGCATACCACCAACTACTACCACCAGCATACCACTACTACCACCAGCATACCACTACTACCACCAACATACCACTACTACCACCAGCATACCACTACTACCACCAGCATACCACTACTACCACCAGCATACCACTACTACCACCAGCAGCATACCACTACTACCATACAACACTACCACTACATACCACATACCACTACTACCACCCAGCATACCACTACTACCACCAGCATACCACTACTACCACCAACATACCACTACTACCACCAACATACCACTACTACCACCAACCACCAGCATACCACTACTACTACCAGCAACATACCACTACTACCACCAACATACCACTACTACCACCAACATACCATTACTTCCACCAACATACCACTACTACCACCAACATACCACTACCACCACCAACATACCACTACTACCACCAACATACCACTACTACCACCATACCACTACTACCATCAGCATACCACTACTACCACCAGCATACCACCACTACCTACCACCAGCATACCAGCATACCACCTACCACCACCAGCATACCACTACTACCACTACAGCATACCACTACTAACCAGCATACCACTACTACCACCAACATACCACTACCACTACCACCACTGCATACCACAGCAACATACCACTACTACCACCAGCATACCACTACCACCAGCATACCACTGCTAACAGCAACATACCACTACTACCACCAGCATACCACTACTACCACCAACATACCACCACTGCTAACAGCAACATACCACTACTACCACCACCACTACATACCACTACCACCACTACTACTACCACCAGCATACCACACTACTAACCAGCATACCACATACTACCACCAGCATACCACTACTACCACCAACTTACCACTACTACCACTACCATCAACATACCACTACTACCAGCATACTATCATGGTTGCAGTGTAAGGTTTCCAATGAGGTTTCTGTTGAAACCCCTTCTAAATGGCGTGATGGTTGTGGGAAATGGACGACCTTTTTGAATCATCTTCCCTTCACTAATCTGCCAGGTGCGCTGATCTGGACGGTCCAACCTTCAACTGACAGCGCATGTCGTGTGCGCGATAGGAGCTGTACAAG